AAATTAGGTTAAGGAACCCTAATTTGGCTAGAATATTCCTGTTTCGATAAAAATAAAAATAAAAATGCTAACTAACAAGATTCGAAATAATTCTAGGAACTGAGGGGTTTTAAGAAAATAATTCAAACATTAGGGTTTTTTAAGAGAATACATTTTTCAGGGGCTTCACAACCTATCCTCCTTAAAATAATTTCGTCCCCAAAATTCAACTACATACTGCCTTCGAAAAGTTCGAGATAGTTTGCCTTCACTCAATCCTGGCGTTCCCAAGTAGATTCCTCAATTCCCCGATGACGCCATAGCACTTTTACCAAGTGAACCGTTTTGCCTCTAAGGTTCTTCTCTCGACTATCTTGTATTGCTACCAGTCCTTCTTTAAGGCTTGGTTTGGCATAACCTAAAAAAGTCAAAAAGACAAAAAATCACTATCCTATTTAAGTCATATCATCTTATTTAAATCACATCACCTCTCTACCACATCATTTCAAACCCAACCCATACCCAACCCATATTTTATAAAAAGGCAAAAAATACACTTATTTAGTTTATCCCAAACAACCCCTAAATGCAACATCTTTGTCAAGACTGATTTTTTCCCATTTGAGGATGTGTGACGGGTCGGCGATGTATTTTCTCAACATAGATACATGGAAGACGTTGTGTATCCCTACTAACTGCGGGGGTAGAGCTAGTCTGTATGCTACTTCGCCCACCCCACCATTTCCAATACCTCAAAAGGCCCAATATATTGTGGTGATAGCTTCGCCTTCCAAAACGTACGATTCCACGCCTAGGTTGCACCTTTAGGAACACGTGGCTGCCTACTTCAAACATCAACGACCTTCTCCTCCTATCTGCATAATTCTTTCGACGGTCTTGAGCAGTCTTTAACCGTTGTCGGATCAATTTGACCTTGTCAGTAGTTTCTAGAACAAGTTCGGGTCCGATTAGATTTGTATCACCCACTTCTACCCAACAAATCGGCGATCTACAAGGTCGTCCATATAATGCTTCAAAAGGCGCCATACCGATGCTAGCTTGAAAGCTGTTGTTATAGGCAAATTCAATTAAAGGTAGGTGACGTTCCCAACTTCCTTGAAAATCCATTGCGCAAGCTCTCAACATATCTTCAAGTGTCTGGATGGTGCGTTCAGATTGTCCATCTGTTTGCGGGTGAAAGGCGATGCTAAAACATAACTCAGTACCAAGAGCTTCCTGCAGGCTTCCCCAAAATCGAGAGGTGAACCGTGGATCACGATCTGACCCAATAGATATCGGAATTTCATGTAGTCGAATGATCTCCTCAATGTAGAGCATGCACATAGACTCCAAAGTGTCGGTTATCTTATATGGTAAGAAATGTGCTGACTTTGTGAGGCGATCCACTATTACCCATATAGCATCGCGCCCTCTAGGTGACTTAGGCAACCCTGTCACAAAGTCCATCGTCACATACTCCTACTTCCATTCGGCTATTGGTAAAGGTTGCAACATTCCCCTCAGTTTCTGATGTTCCGCCTTCACTTGTTTGCATGTTAGACATTTTGCTACAAATTTAGCCACTTCCTTTTTCATTCCATTCCACCAATACTGCCTCTTCAAATCTTAGTACATTTTAGTCCCTACTGGATGTACTGCAAATGCAGAATGATGACATTCCTTAAGTACCTTTTCTCTAAGCAACTCGTCACTTGGTACAAACAATCTACCTTGGTATCTCAAACTCCCATCGTGGTGAATTACCCAATCGAGCATTGGTTCTCCCGCTTCCAGACGTCCCTTGATATAGGCTACCTCTTGATCGTGCTTCTGGGCCTCCATGATCTCATTCATCAACTCAGGCATCACCTTCTGTGCACTAAGATATGCTTTTGTATCTTGAGATTCTACTTGGATCCTGAATTCATTGAGTATCTTAACCATATTGCATTCTTTGACGAATATCTTAGCCTTCACTCCTCTGCTCTTGCGACTTAGAGCATCTACTACTACATTGGCTTTACCGGGATGATATGAGAGAGTGAACTGGAAGTCCTCAAGATACTCCATCCATCGTCTGTGTCTCAAGTTAAGGTCCTTCTGTGTAAACAGATACTTCAAACTCTTGTGATCTATGAAAATCTCAAATTGTTCCCCATACAGGTAGTGTCGCCATTGCTTTAGGGCAAAAACTACGGCCGCTAACTCCAGGTCATGTGTTGGGTAATTACGCTCATGAGGTTTCAACTGCTTGGATCCATATGCGACTACCTTTCCATTTTGCATGAGCACACAACCTAATCCTTCTTTAGACGCATCACAATACAGAGTGTACCCCACTTCCCGTTCTGGGATGGTCAAAATTGGCGCACTAGTTAACCTCTTCTTTAGCTCTTGGAAGGATTTTTCGCGAGGTTCGTCCCACTCATACTTTACTCCTTTTTACGTCAAACGAGTCATTGGTTTAGCTAGTTTGGAAAAATCTTGGATGAACGTCCAGTAATAACCGGCCAATCCGAAGAAACTGCGGATTTCTGATACGGTTTTCGGTTGTCTCCAATCTAATACTGCCTCCACCTTGGTTGAATCCACCGCAATCCCATTCTCCGATACTACATGCCTTAAGAATTTCACTTCATTCAACCAGAACTCACATTTACTTGCGTTGGCATATAACCGATTATCCCTAAGAACTTGAAGGACAATCCTTAAATGTTGCTCATGCTCTTCTTCAGACCTCGAATATACCAAGATGTCATCAATGAACACTACTACAAACTAGTCAAGATATGGTCTAAAAACCTTATTCATTAGGCTCATGAATACTGCCGGTGCATTGGTTAGTCCGAAGGGCATTAATACAAACTCATAGTGGCCATATCTAGTACGAAAGGCAGTTTTTGGTATGTCCTCCTCCTTGACTCGTAGTAGATGGTAACCTGACCTGAGATCGATCTTTGAATAGCACCTTGAGCCTCTAAGTTGGTCAAAAAGGTCATCAATCCTTGAGAGTGGGTATCGGTTCTTAATCGTGACTCGATTGAGTTGACGGTAATCGATGCATAGCCTCAACGACCCATCCTTCTTTTTAGCAAACAACACGGGTGCTCCCTATGGCGAAGTACTTGGCCCAATGAATCCTCTCTCGAACAACTACTGTAGTTGTGTCTTTAATTCTTGTAACTCTGAGGGTGCCATGCGATACGGGGCCATGGATATTAGGGTAGTTCCAGGTTGTAGCTCAATACTAAAGTCTACTTCCCGGGTTGGTGGCAATCCTGGTAATTCCGTAGGAAATACATCTGCATATTCGCATACTACACGCGAAAGTTCTAATTCTCCTGGGCCCTCATTTAAAATCAGACTTGCTATCCTACCCGCAAGTTGATCGCGCCACTGCGTCCTACATTTCGTTGAAGCCATGGGGTCTTGTCTATCTCCCTTAAACTGGAAACGTGTTCCGTCATGCGTATGAGCTATTACCTTCCTCTGACGGCAGTCAATCACCGCTCGGTGGGCAGACAACTAGTCCGCCCAAAATGATATCGAAGTCCGACATTTCCATGACACGAAAGTCGCAAGTTAAGCGTAGGTTCGACATTCCTATCTTATAATCCTTACAGACCAATCTTATCCGAACGCATCCTCCCATAGGTGACATTATATTTAAGGCATTTTCTAAGGATTCTCCTACAAGTCCTAATGATTTAGCACAAGCAGAGAATATAAAATAATGTGATGCACCAGTATCAAATAAAACATGCACCCAAGAATTGTATAGCACTAAATTACCCTCAATTACAGACAAGTCTGCTTCTTCCTCTTGCAAGGCGAAGACTCTGCCGGTTGCCTTCTAGTTGCCACTGGTCTTGGCATTCTGAGTTCCCCCACTCTTCTGGTGCTGCTGCCCGGTAGATCCTGTCTTGTTCGTCCAAGGCTTTTGCCCAACTAATGCCTGGGTATTTGCTCCGGAACCTCCACCTTGGTATCCAGATGGAGGGAGTTGGGCGCGTTCACTCTTTTTGTGCCCCAATTGTTGGCAATGAAAGCATTGGAGTTAACCCGCCGGCCTTTGTTGATAGCATCCTCTTTGGATCAGTTGTTGCGATTGCTGTCGTTGCTGTTGTGGTTGTGGTCTGGAGTAGGGCTTTGAGGCCATGTTTCCTTTCTGGTTCCTCTGAGGTCCAATAGACGCCTGACTCCCTCTTCGCTTGGTCCAAGCCTTTCTAGCGTCGGTTACTTCCCTTTCAGATTCTACTGCCGTTTCCAGCACCTCGGCATATGAGTGGAGTCGTTGCGGAAGAACTCTTCCCCTGATTGTAAGGTCCAACCCCCACTCGAACATCCTTGCTTTCTCTTCATCATTTGCTACGTATCTAGTTGCGTAACGGGCTAACTCTTCAAATTTTGCAACATACTAGGTTACGGTCATATTTCCTTGTTGAAGGTTTTGGAATTCCTTGACTAGTTCTCGGCAGACTGTATTTGGGAAATATTTATTTAGGAATAGCTCCCTGAACTGGTTCCATGATAGGCTCGCTACGTCACGAGTATTCTTGATTAACTCCCACCAGTGGTCAACCTCATCATCAAGCTCGAATACTGCCAAAGCTATTCTATCAGCGGCCTCGGTTATGCCCATGGTGTCTAGCATTTTCTCTATCTGCCGAAGCCAATTTTCAGCTACCTTTGGGTCTGGTACACCTGCGAACTTTGGGGGCCTCTGTTTTCGAAATTCAGAAAAGAGTCGAGTCCTCTCATTCTGCCGATTGTTCCTTACTTGCCCTAGTTCCTCCAAAATTTGATGACCTAGGTTATTGGGATGTCAACCCCCTGCGGGGACGGGTCCGTGTTGGTTTCTAGGACGGTTCCATGGATTGTTGCTGGTTTCGGTATAGCCATTAGCTCGCGTGTCCACCATTCTGTTCATGGCACGTGCTGAGTTGGGTTCCAGTTTTAGAGAATCTTACTACTTAGATTTGAAATAAAGGTTCAGTTTCCTTAGGGTATACTAAAGCAAGTAACAGTCAACAACATAGATCAACACATCATTCATATATTATAATAGGCATCATTACAAAAGGGCTTCCAAATCAGAGTTACATTCAAAGGGCATCTACGCATTACGAAGTTCAAGCTATCTTATTCTAAGGATCCCCATCAGCGGATCTTACAAAAGTTTAGTTTTACTATTCCTCGAACTAGTTCTCGTTTCCCGACCAATAAAAGTCTTCTTCTGGGTCTTCTTCAGCGGAGTCAGTTGCTTGGTCCGGAGAGCGGGGGGTGTACCTTGGTGAGGAGGGATTGTGTTCAGATGACACCTCTATGGGGTAGGCTTGGGTTGCCCCTTGCTGTTTGGGTGGCTGCTCCATATCCATTGGTTGATTGTCGCTCAGCCCTTGATAACAAGATTCGTAGCTTTCAGCCTGAGTCGATGGTCGGTGGAATGCTATGGTGGTCAAAGCTCGGTGTATCAAGGAGTCCATCCTCTGATCATATTGCTCCATTTGGATTGCCTTCTTTGTTGCCCGACTTAAAAATTGTAGGCGGCGCCGTACCAGGGACCTCTTATGCTCCCTCGTATAGTGGGAGTACTCCGTTTCTACCTTACATATCTCTGTTTTGATCATTTCCTCGGCGGCACTTGTACAGTGTCGGCGGCTAAAGTAGGGGCTGACAGACATGGCCCTCCTTCCTTGCATACGGAAAGTACCCCACGAGTCGAGACTGACGCCGCGTCCTGGATAGTCTCCCGATGACATCCTAAGGTGGAAAAGATTTTTTATTTGTTAGTCTTCTTTAAATATAATCGCGTGACAGAATAAAATAAGATAAAGGGGTAAGGGCTTCTAGAGTCGCATATTGGGTTGCGTGGGTTAAGGGTTGAACATTTGCTCTGATACCAAGTTGTGACGCACCGAATCTACACTATAGGTTACAGTCAAGGGAGAGTCACTAATGAATCCTATGGTCAATAACTAAGTAAGATCCCAAATCGCCGGAAGAGTCAAATTAGCCTCCCTTCTAAGTCCGGCTTTCTTAGGCAGCGCACTACCCTTGTGACAGATCTTAAAAAGTATTGCCACAAGGTCTCATAAACAACGATAAGGTTCATACATATAAAATATAAGTACATAACAACCACGAATATCCTTAATTTTAAAAGCTTGTTCCATTACATTACATCCCAAAAAGAAAATTTAAATATTCATATGAGTCTTACAAAATATCAAAAGGAATTTCTAGCTTTCCTAAGATAGCCAAAAGACTTGGAAAGTTTCAGGCTCGTCATCTCTAGCTATAAGCTCCTCTTCGGCGCCTGGCATGATACGCCGTGAGCTTTGAATGCCCAATAAACACACACACACACCCCGTCCCTTTTTTCCCAGTCTAAAACACAATTACAAGTATAATATCAAGTAGTAAAGCATGATACTCAACTAAATAAATAAAGGGTTATAAGTTAAGTGTTAGTAAACTAGAAATCCCCCAAAGAGATTTCGTCCTCCTAACTACAAGAATCGGACGCGGATTATTCGGTATGCCCCCTCTTTTGCTGCTTTATGGAAGAACTAACCTCGGATGCCTACCAACGGTTATATACCGCGTAGCGCCAACTGTAGGGCCTCAAAAGAGACGGTAATAATGGGTCTTACCCAAATCCCTCCTCAAACCAAACCACCTAGGGTCCGAATACAACCACTCCGTTCAAGGGTTCCGAAAACCACTTGCACAAGACTTTAGCTTCCAAATAGAGAACGCATTCCAACAATCCATACATCACATATTATCATCTTTCCATTACTCAAAAGATCGAAAACCCAATACCATCCCAATTAAGTTTTCCGTTAAGTTAAATATTTTAAATCAAGGTTAGACTAACTTAACAAGATAATAATATCCACATAAGCATGCATCATTAAGATGAAGAAGATAAAGAACATAATCATAACACATATAATATCATGCCAAGATATGATCATAAGCTAATAAGCATTTTCATGAACACAAGAGCATAAAGCATCCATGCACAACAGAATTTCCAGATTCAATATCACATAAGGATTAGAATGAAAGGACTATTTTCGATTATTCACCGGACTCGGCCTTCCTATGGTTCGTAGAGAATTTAATCTAGTTTCTAGAACATATTTCGGAAATGGTATAACTTTTCTGGATTTTAAGTTATTTAGAAAACACTCCAACGCTGTCCAGATTCATCGACCGTTACGAAAATTTGATTTTCTTCCAAACCGCTCACTGTTTTTCAATGAAACCAATTTTAGTTGAAAGCTAACTCCTTAAGGACGATTTTGACATAAAATAGAGGTCCAGAATAATTTTCTACATTTTTCTAGAAATTTTGAAAGTTGGCTGCGAAAACAGATTCTAAGGCATAATACTCAAAACAAGAAGATTTGTGAGAAAATGAATCCACGAAGGGAAAATTTTCATTTCTTTTGTGATGAAAACATGCTAACTAACATATATTAAACTCAGAAAATTTGCTTGAAGGTGTGCCTTTGGAAAGTTTGAGAGATTGGTATGAAAAAGATAGTTTTGTACCGAAATGAGAGAAAATACAAGAGAGGTAGAATCATGGCTCAACTCTTATCATTTTTAACACAAGTAACTCATCAATAACACATCTGAAAACAATATTTAGAACCCTTAAGAACATGTATTTGAAAAAAGAAAAATGAAAGAGAAGATTGTGTTGTGGCTTACTTGCTACGCTTGAACAAGAGTGCTCTCCTCTTCCTCTCCCTCTCAAGACTTCTCTCTTGTACTCCTTTCTCTCCTCTAGGCCGAATGTGTGTGTGAGTGTGTTGTTTGTGTTTGCCATGCTCGGGAGTGGTGGTATTTATAGGCAAATTTTGGTATAAAAAGACATAAAGGCTCACTAGTTGGAATTGGATGGAAAAATTAGGATTTACTTGGAGTTTAATGGAATAGGAGTGATTAGGGAGCTTAATCATGGGATTAGACAATATCTAGTTGGTCCCTAGTTGAAATGAAACTAGTATTGGAAACAAAACCCTAGATTTAGGGGTACTAGATGTTAGGGTTTCTAGAATACCATGATTACAATTCTTGAAAATGGGCTCCTCACATCTTCCTATGGTGGCCGGCCATTGGGAAGGGAGATGGGGCATTTTTTTATTCAATTTAAGTACTAGGGACACATCCCCTAATGTATATATATATATAGATCTCAAATTGATTGATGGTACCTATAATATAAAAGTACATGTACTAGTTTTGGAGAAATTCTTGAAATTAATAAAAGTAGTGAGGACTTGGAATTAAACTCATGTATTGGAATTTTACTTATGTAGAATTAAATTAAATTAGGTTAAGGAACCTAATTTGGCTAGGATATTCCTGTTCGGATAAAAATAAAAATATAAATAAAAATTCTAACCGACAAAATTCAAAATAATTCTAGGAACTGAGGGGCTTTAAGAAAATAATTCAAACATTAGAGTTTTTAAAGAGAATACATTTTTCACAATCCCACCCAATCTAACTCTAAAAACAAATGGGGCCTAAGGAAGAAACACACAAACACTCAACCCAACATCGCCGACATCATTCTCAGCCACAATCAGTGGGGTTTTGTTGGGGAATTTGGGCATAAAAACAACCTATAGAGAGCCCCAGATTGAGTGAATCAGAAAATTCAGTATTTCTGGTATCGAATCCCTCTAGAAAGTGGATAGTTTTGCTTCCAACAAACCCATCTATGTTTTCTTCACCCATTGAACTACGAAACAAAGACAGAGAACACACACATGCAAATTAGAGACTTGAATTTAGGAATTATTCAGCAGGCCCAGATGGAAAATCTAGATAAAAAGCAAAAAGAAGAGAGAAAATCAAAAAATAAAAGGAAAAAAACAAAAACACGGATGAGTTTTTTAAGCAAACACCATGAATAGAGCATAATCCATCTAGGTTCATAGCCCCATAAATTTAAAAAAACAAAACACACACACACACAGAGAGGAGCTTACTTGGTTTTGAGAGTCGCAACGAGAGGGGTCATTGAAAAAGAGAATCTAACAGAGAGAGATAGAGATTAAATAGTTTTGATTTTATGAGAAATTAGAATATTTGAATGTGTTGGTAGATTGTATGGATGTGTATATATATGATCATGATAGAGTTTGAAAAGCCGCGTGGTGTGAGAGAGAGAGAGAGACACTCGTGGATCCAAACAAATACAAAAGGCATGTGGATTGTTCTTGTGGACCTAGGACTATCCTTATGGACCCAAACAGAAGTCACATGGATGTATAAAATTAAAAGTTTATAAAAATGACATATGGCCTGAGCAACATATTTTTAATATGTATTATTCTAATTTGTATTTTCCTTATTTTTAATTGAAAGTAGAATCTTACGATCCTACGATCTAATCCACGAGACCCTCTCACCGACCCTATATAGGATCTCGATTTTAATAACTTTGTGATTAAGGTACAATTTGCTGCTATTTCTTATTCAAATAACCAACCCGTATCAATTTCTTGGTGAATCGTATCAAATCGTGCAAATCACAATTCGAATCATACAATACTAACAACAACACTAGCAACTCATAAGATGTATACGTTTTTGTCCTTTATCCATGCAATAAGTTAAAAAACATTGTTGAATGAATATTGGCAAACATAAAAATTACAAAAGTTAGTTATAATATAGGAGTAACTAAGGTGTCGTTTGGTAAAATTTATACCTTTTAGTTTTTGTTTACAAAAAATATTAAACACGTCATTTTTATTTTTTATGACAACAAAAATAAAACATGTTTGGAACATGTGTTCTAAAATTTAGTTTTAAAAATGAAGTAAAAAGGGTGGCCGAAGATGGTTGTTGACGGTGTCGTAGATTGTGGCTAGATGTGGTTATTGGTTGCACAAAGGTGGTGATCTGAGGTTGTTTTTGGCCGCCAAAGGTGGTTGGTAGTGGCCAGAGGTCAATGCTAACAATCGGAGATACTAGTCGGCCACCGAAGGTGGTTTCTAGCGCGGTGGTGGCCAATGTTGGTTGCTGCTAGTGGAAGGTAGTGGCCAAAGGTGGTTGTTAGAGACGCTCATCAACAAACCAACGACAGTGGCTAGAGGTAGGGGTGGCCAGTTTCGGTGACAAGCAATAAATATTAGCCAAAGCAATTGGGGAAAAAATATTAAATAAAATAAAACCTTTTTTTTTTCAAAATAAGTGAAACCAACTTTTTTATGGTTACAAAAAAAATATTAAATTTTGTAAAGTGTTTACAAATTTTTGAAATATAATTTCCAAACATGTCCTAAGTTTCACAACAAGTAGTATTTAATTGAAGGGTTAGTTACATTTTTCAATCTTATAATTTGATCCAAGTTTCACTTTAGTCTTTATTGTTTTAATTTAAACAATTTGATCTCTACAAATCCAATTCCAATTTAATCATTCCGTCTAAATTTCTATTAATTTTACTCACGTGTAGACATTAGAAAATTGACAAATGTCTCAAAATTATTAACTTTAACAGCCAATTTGGACAGAAACACAAAATTAAAATACATTTATAAAAGCATACAAACCAAATTATTAGATTAAAACTATGGAACTAAAGTGAAATTTGAATCAAACTACAAGGTAAAAAGTATAATTAACCCTTAATTGAATATGTAAAATAAACATTCACACAGCACAACCAGAAGGAGCAAAGCATACCTTTATTTATTTTTATTTTTTCCGACTCCACTCATGCCATTAAAATTCCAGTATGTAAACCTATTTTATTATTACAAATGGAAAAAGTAAACAAATGTTTTAGTTACCAAGAAAACATAAGAAAATATTTATGGCGGATTTGGTTGGGGAATTTGAGAAAGAATTGGGAAAAGAAAAGGAAAAAAGAAAGAGATTCGTGAAAATAGTTGAAATGTTTTCACTACATTTTCTCTTTTCTTTTTCAAATAACTTCTCAAATCCTCCAACCAGACGCAACATTAAAAACTATTTGGAAAATAAAAACCAACTATAGTTTCGACATGGTAATTAAACATATGTGCACTAAATTTACCTGATGACTGAGGAGCCATGTCTCTCTGCCAAGCCCTCCTAATGAAGATCCAATCTATCTCTCTTGCTCTCTAACTGTCGCTCTCTGTGCTGTTTCTATGTGTATCTCTGTACAAAGAATCAAAATACAAAGAACTAATCAAAATCAACCATAGTCAGTGGGTTTATGGGAACGAAGAGAGATCAGAGCTACCTTTAGATCGATCTTTGCCCGAGAGTACGGCAGCCGCCCGCAGGAGAGAACCACCGAGTGAGAGAGATGGAGGAGAGCGGAACGACGCTTTTGCAATAAGAATCTGAAGGGTAGTAGTAGGGTTAAAAACTTTTGGGGGCAAGGATTGGCTGTGGTGGCGTGCACAAGACCACTTTACATGTGCGCCATGCCCATTAAACTCACTCATGATTTATAAGGTTTGAAATTACAACAATGATAAATTTTTTATTTTTTATTTTTTTTTGTTGGGAGATCTTTTCAATTTTTTTTGAATTTTCACTATTGACGGTGTGTGCTTCACACATATATAAATGGGTTCTATATATACATCAATGATCGAGATCCAAAGGAAATCGTAGAGTTGCCAAAAAATGAAGGTCTCAAGCATTTTTCTTAAAATTATTATCCAAGCCCATAGAAAATTGCTTGACAAAGGGGGTTGATGTGTTTAAAAAAATATTTTTTGAAAGCTGTGGTGGCGTGCACAAGACCACTTTACATGTGCGCCATGCCCATTAAACTCACTCATGATTTATAAGGTTTGAAATTACAACAATGATAAATTTTTTATTTTTTATTTTTTTTTGTTGGGAGATCTTTTCAATTTTTTTTGAATTTTCACTATTGACGGTGTGAGCTCCACACATATATAAATGGGTTCTATATATACATCAATGATCGAGATCCAAAGGAAATAGTAGAGTTGCCAAAAAATGAAGGTCTCAAGCATTTTTCTTAAAATTATTATCTAAGCCCATAAAAAATTGCTTGACAAAGGGAGTTGATGTGTTTAAAAAAATATTTTTTGTAAATATAAAAATAATATGACATCTAATTTTTTTAATTAATAACAAATAAGTTTTTTTCTTTTACTTTTTTAGCCAAATAAATATTTTTAAATTATCCCAAAAAAATGTCTAAAATAGCTTTGACAATTATATTTTAGTATATTTTTATTGACTTTTTTTGTATTTAAATAATAAATTTAAAATGTTTCATCATTAGGTAGAAATGTTTGCAGGTTGAATCAGTTCGGATTCATGAGTAACACAAGTTTCAAAATAAACCACACCATGCCTTTGATTAGGCAATTGGGTGTCGATAGATGGAGAAATTTTCACAAATCAAAGAAACATAGATGCACAAAATTAAAGTATCAGAAACCCTAATTTCAAATCCAATTCAATTTATTCATATCAAAATCCATTAAAAAAATATTTAAGAACTTATAGTAAAACTAAAACCGTTAAAAGGAAATACCAAATGGCTCCAAAACAAAAAAAAAAAAAAAAACTTAAAAAAAAAAAAAAAAAAAAAAAAAAACTTAGATCATGATCTTTCAATTAATGGTGAACTTGGAGCCTGACCTTTGTAGATCTTGATGATGACAAAACTTAGAGCTGTTGACGATTTTGATTGTGGAGGCATCAATCTTAAGTTTCCATTGTACTTTCTACAATGATACTGTAATCACGATTTGAGATGTGAAGAGTTTTACCAAGAGTAATGCTATGAGGAGAGATGAAAACTAGGGGGTAGCCTAACGAGTAAGGATCATCGGCCGCCATTTCCTGCAGCCGTTCCTACGGCCCTCTACAAACGACGTCGTTTTGTTTATCAACTCTCTCGCTCTCTCTCTCCCCGCTCTCTCTTCAGTCCAAGTTCCTTTCTATCCACTCTTTTATCTCTATCTCTATATGTATATATACATATACCTCCAACCCCCAATCACTATATTTTCAATCTCAACAATCAAAATGCTAAATAAAATCATAACTTCCCATCAAAAAACCCTATCAAAACCCATCAATGACCGCGTACCATCTCTCCTCCACCACCATTCTTTCGCTCTCTAAAATCCTTCGCTAAAAAGATGCAAAACCCATGCCAAAATCAATCTCCGTCTTCTGACCCAAACCCATAAATTCGTTTCGTAGGTCAATCCGATGCTTTTTCAAGTGTGCTCTGCTCAATCCCAAGCAAAACAACAATACCCAGAAGAAGAAGAAAATTGAGTTTCAGCAACCCAATCACCCACATCCATTGATTTTGTGCAATAAAGATAAGAACTTGATTATACTTGCAGTTCCTTTGACGACTGTTGATGGAGATTGGTTTTATGTTTGTTTACAGTGTAAGGGTTTGCTTCACATTTCATGTGCAGAGTTACCCATTCGAATTGAGCACCCATTTCACTCCTCTCGCCTCTCTGTTCGTCTTTCTCAGAGGGGCTGGGTTCAAAAATGAAAAGGGGTAAAAAAAAAAGTAAGAAAGAAGGATTTTCTCTGTTCCTTTTCTCTTCTCTCTTCTCTCTCTCCCCTCGTCTCTTCCCTCTGTATTCACGAAAAAGGCAAAAAAAAAAAAAAAAAAAAAAAAACGACCTCGTTTTTGTGGGCCGCAGGGAGTGTCGCAGGAATGGGCGGCAGATGATCTGGACTCGTAGGCTAACAGATGAACATCGGAGAAAGGGATTTGTGGAGTACAAAGTCAAGAATGAGTTTTGGAAAAAGAAAAAAAAAGTAAAGTAGAGAGAGAGAGAGATTAAAGTTTTTGATAAGTGAAAGTCTTGGAAAATGAAATATATATATATATACAGATGAAAGATATATATGTTAAAGTATGTCATAAATGACAGTCTTGAAAAAGAAAACAAAAATGTAATAAAGAAAGATATCGAACAGCCTTTAAGTAACGTTAAAGTTTATGATATGTGATAAGATTTGAAGAGATATAAAAGATAAAGTTCCCTTCCATAGAGATAAGATGTAATTTGACAACTCAACAAAATGCTACCATGCATGAAGCCTCGTTTTTATAAATAACTTAGTCAGTTCGGGTGCTTTGGTTGTAATGCCTCGAAATCATAACCTCAAATTACAATATTAATTCATCAATAATTTAATTTTATTTAAAATACAACAATCCAATAAATAATATAGTGATACTTCATAAGGAATCTTTTCTCCATTGAACTATTTAAATGATTACATCATTGTTCAGTTACTTTCTGGTGTTGTCGTTTGCACACCAAAATACAAAGTTCCATATATTCTTTTTTCATTTGACTGGGACGAGCCTTGGTGGGAATTTGCTTTACTGTAATTAATCGGACTAGCAGTACGATTAGAATCAGCATAATGATGTTGGAATTGGACAGAAGCTAACTCAGTCAGAATTTGTTCATAAACATATCTGTAAGTATCCAAATGAGGAGGGCTATTTTGAGTAGCAAGATAGCGTTTCTTAACCTCCCAAGGATCAGAAACCCACTGGATGTCGGCGGTATCAATATAAAGAACAGTTTCTTCTGCACACCAAAATATATTAATTAAAAAAATTGAGTAATAACTACTACACTGAATTATAGCGGTTGAGAACGAATGTCGAACCACAAAGATGATGAAAGTTGACTTTAATTTAAAGATTTCTGGCTGGAGGATGGAAGATAATAAAAAAAAAAACCTTAGGGCTTAGAATTCACTACTAATCTGGCTGGAGGATAGAAGATAATAAAAAGAAAATCTTAGGGCTTAGAATCCACTACTAATCTTATCATTAGGGGTTGTTCGTATTTAGATTAAAGAAAATCATTGAAATGGATACTACGATGTATCTTGGTCGGGACACATCACTTAAATATTTGTGTTTTAAAATCAGAAAGCTACAAATCATCTTTGCTTAGCACGAATCGTCACCGCTAAACTAAGGTTGATGCATGACCCGTCTAATAATTTTATTACACAAGCATGAAAACCATTTATATGACATGTATTTATAACTAGTGAACACATAATTTGATAAAACAATATTTGCATAAAAATCTAAGTTATACAACAGTATCCAAATCAATTAAAAGTCTACAAAACTAAATACAAACTATTCAAATCAATTGATTAGAGTTTCATCTTAACCCTAAAATAAGAAAATTAGTTTCACATAATTGTAGAGCTATCACTCTATAAAAGAAACACTCTACACTCTCTCACTAATTTTTCGTCTCTTCCAAGAGCTCCCAGTTCTCTTGCTATCTCCTCCCTTCTCTTCGTCTGTATGCCTTCTTGTATAGGCCAAGATCTGCAAATGAAAACAAATAAACAAATAAAATAAAATATAATAATATATATTAGTGGAATGGTTGATGGTGGTTTGCTGCATGAGCTGCCGACAAATTTCTTTCTTCTTTTTCTTTTTTTTTATTTTTATTTTTCTTTTGACCAAAGGTTGATGATGGTGGCCACCTCCACCGAAATGTGATGATGATATTTTTTTTTTGTTTTATAATAAATATAATATAATATTTAAAATATTTAAAATGTATTATTTAGACTAATTTATGTATAAACATTAAAATATATACAAATAGATTAAATCATACAAAACTATAAAATAATACAAATAAATAAACTAATAAAGTGTATATTAAGGGATTAAATGTATAACATTTAGGCACCGATCACTTTCACCAAATGACAATAACAGTTCAAAGAGTGAAAGATAACACAAAATATAAATGCCCTAAAGGCACACATCTTTTCAAGGAATGCCCTTGAATACACAAAATGACATAATTCTATTTCCAACACAAAAAATAGCCCGAGGCTTTAACATGTAGCATATAAATAGAGCATTCGTACTCCCATCCAAAAATACATCATGCCAATCACTTTGGTGACATCACAGTTTCATCACCTGAAAGGTTGTTAGTTTTTGGGTGAGCAATTGCCAGTAGGAAATACCATTAACAAGTTATACAATTAATCGAAATACATATAATCATGCCATGCAAGAGATGAGAAATCCAAGTCTTTTCTTTTCTTTTTAAAACCTTTATGCTAATTATGAAATGTCAATAACCAATCTCAACTAATCATGGGGTGTAAATGAGCTATGATGTCACAAGCAATAGCCTTAACACCATATATGCATACGTAGATTGATATATATAAAATAGTCTCACATTTGCCAAGTCTAAAAATAGCTAGACGATAAGCACCCAAGACCTTTCTCTTCCATATTTGCCGAATCCAGAAACGGTGGGCTCGTGGTCACCCAAAATTATGTTTTCCACATTTGTCGACTCTAAAAACGGTAGGCTCATGGACACCCTAAAACCTTTCCCACATTCGCCCGGCGATATGTTTAAGACAAGGCAATTGGCCACCTTGATTATCTATGCGGGTACCAATATACAATACACACTCAAACCAAAACCCAACTCATTACCTAGACCCATACGCTATTTACCCACATCCAACGCTATTTACCCATATCCAACACTTTCCAAACATTAGCAGGTAAGAGCCACAAGGTGTAGTTATAATGCATATGATGTATGATTTTACAAATCTCAATTTCCCTAAGGTGAGTTCAATTTACAACAATCCATAATATAAATATCAACAATTGAAGAGATTCTCTAACTCACAATCTTCACCATCCCAAGGATTTGTTTCAAGAAGTTCCCAAAATTTCATATTTCAACACCAAAGTCAAATCAATACATCCAATTCAAGATTAAAAGATCAATTGTGCCAAATCCCCTTCATTAAGCCAATTTGAAAACAGGGTTTCGAGAAAACTAAGACTTTTCCCTTTTACACAAACTAAAGGCCAACTCATCATCAATAACCATAATAAACAAAAAAATGTACATAACTCTTCCAAAAATCATGAGGTATAGCCCTTTTGATCAAACTCATTTTACAATACAAATACACTTCATACATCTTGATAACTAATGAAAATACCACATAGATGTCTCAAATCAAAGATATAACAAGTTAATAAAAGAATTTGAAAAAGATCATTTTATTTTCCTTATCTTTCAATCAATACAAACTGTGCCTCTTATACAATCACTATAACTGCCTAACTCAATCAATCAACTAACTAACCATGGTTATGTTATCATAACTTCCTAACAGATTCTTCTAACCACCACAAGTGGATTGTACCTCCTCAACTTCATACACGTGCTCATCCTTTAAGCATTAGCCTCAGATGGCTTGACCAACTCCTTGAGCTGGAGCTGTGGCTTGGTTTACAACTGGTGTAGCTCTATTCTTGACTTAGGCTTGGACTGCATCTGAGGCTTTGCTTGTGACTTGAGTTCTGCCTTGAGTTCTGTCTCGAACTGTGGCTTAACATGCCCTCTCAAGCTTAGGGAAGCTGGCAAGACCATAAGCTTGGATTGTAAGTATTGAAAACTCTTATTTGAAAGGGGTTTTGTTAAAATATCGGCCAATTGATCAGAAGTCAAAATGTGACTGATTTTGAGCTGTTTAACTACCACTTTCTCTTAAACATAATGGTAATTCTATGTGTTTTGTTCGAGCATAGAAGACAAGATTAGAGGAAAGAGAGATACCAGAAATATTATCACACCAAAGAGTGGGTGAAGGAACTGAGATGTGAAGATCAGATAAGAGCATGGTAAGCCAACTGAGCTCTTCTACTGTTTGAGCTAAGGCTTAATACTCAGCCTCAGTAGAAGAGCGGGGCACAGTTGGCAACTTTTTAGCAGACCATGAGATCAAATTTGTGCCAAGGAAAA